ATTGTCGTGCTTCTCTTTTTTTTTGCCAGAAAAAATCAATGGTGACCTCGAAAATTTTTCTTTTGAATATCCTGATTCTTTAAGACTTGAGGATATAAAAACACTAGAAAACATAGTATATCAATCTTTGGAGGACGTTGCTCAAGCGAGAAAAAATAATGCACTGAAAATCGTTTCGGCGAACACTTTTGACCGCTACTGTATGTTTGTGATGCGCCACGCGCTCGACTTCTGCATAAAATCATAGTGAAAAATAAATACGTTTTGACCCATTTGAATTGGGGGGAGATGAGAAATGTACATATCAGACTGCCGACATTCTCAGACAGATTTTTTAATACAAAAACTGACCCTACTAATGAAGGGCTAGTCGAATATAAGCCGGGGTCTGATCCCGCACCGTGCACGTGACAAGCGATAAAACTTGTTACCACATCGCCTTGACTGTTGCCGGTTCTTCACTTTCAGTGGTATATTCTAAAGAATTGGGCGGAAGTGGTGTAGTGGCAAGTGGCACGCTTACCACGCGAGCGGTCCGGGGATCAAATCCTGGGTCGTGAGTCGCCCGGGCCAACCAAGCCTTCCATCCCTCCGGGGTCGGTTAATTGGTACCAGACTTGTCTGGGAGGATAAAAACACTGACTTGTACATCGGCTGGCCCCGCAAGTCATTGTATAGGCCACATCGCATTCAAACGCCACTACGAATGTACAAATGGAAGTAGAATGCGTGCCGCATCCCAAAAAGGGATTGATCAACGGCAAATGCTTTATCCTTTATCCTTTATTCTAAATAAGAGCCAAAAACAGCTCAAGACAAGCTCTGTATGTCTGTCTACGACAACGAGTTCTTGTGAGTTCAGGTCGAATGGTTCTGGATATTCTGAAGTTTTTTCTTGTCTACGCATTGGTACTGTTTGCGTTCGCTTGTGGGCTCAACCAATTGCTGTGGTACTATGCAGCGACGAGGCAGGAGGTTCGGAGTCCCATTCGTTGGTGCAACTCAAGGTGCCCCCCAACCGATACTTTTTCAGGAATGCGAGCAGTACAAAGGCTGGTTAGCGAACCCGACACCCTTGGCGAATGCAGCGAAGATGGAATTGCTCAAAGAGAGCTGTGATCCCAAGTACCGTAGCACGTCCAGGTGAATTATTCGGGTTACCAAAACATTGTTACGCTCTAA